GCCCTATGGAGTGTCTTTGTTTGATGTCCCTGTTCTTTACACAGAGCTTACTCCAGTGGACAAGGCAGACCAGGTCTGTTCTCTCAGTAACGTTCACTGCCTAGGTGGGACTATACCCAACCCCAAGGATTTGACTCTCACCTCTGTATGACTTATTACTATCCATTTCTCTACATTTTCAGGGGTCTCTGCCTGGAGTTCCAGCCCCACATCCTCTCTCGTGGTCACGTCTTGCCTTGAACTCCACGTGTCCTGGGCTGAACTTACCCTCTTCCTCCCGACACCAGTTCTATCTCCTGGCAGCTCTGTTCTGTCAATGGTGTCACCGTTCCTCAGTCACCAGGCCCAAAGCCTCAGAGACACCCAGTTGCTTCCCCTTCCTCTGCCCCAATACATCACCCAGTTCTGTCTACTCTTCTTCCTTTCGGACAAATGTTTTCTCGTATCTGTCATTTCCTTCCCTTATATCCACTGCCACGTACTGAGTTCCGATTCCCATTTCAAGCCTGGACCACTGTGCCTTCTCACTGTGATGCACTGTATCATCTCCACTCATGTCTTCCTCTACAGCACCCTAATCACTGCTGCCTAATTAACCTTAGGGTCATCTAAGAGAGCACTGTAGGTGTCATGTAGGCCAACGTCCATCTTTCTAACTGCTTCTCTCAGAGCCATTTTCCTAGCATCACACTCCACAAATGTGATACAGTTTCGGCTCCTTGGTCTGTCACTCAGAGCCAGCCTGACCTGGCCTCATCTCTCTCTGAGGACGGGTCCTCATGGTCTTTCTACACCACCGCCTCCCCCTTGGTTCTCCTTTCTCCTCCCTCTGTCCAAACTTGAAACTTCTCCCCTTTTCTTCAGAAATGCACATTACAGCTCAGAGTTCAGAACACTGGTTTTAGAATCACACACATGCAATTCAAAACACATACTCAGCTGTTCTGCCAATGACAAGCTATGCGACCTTGGGACCTCACAGCTCTGTCTCAGTTTTCTTAATTTAATAAAGTGGGGGCAAAGCCGCCTTGTGGGACAGTTGAGAGGACTGAATGAAATCATAATATGTGATTGCTGTCACAAAGCTGCATGCAAGCAGCTGGAATTCCAAGTGACTTCCCGAGGAGGGAAAGTCTCTAATGGGGCCGACAAAACTGTGAGCAGCCCTTAAACATCTGTAGCCTCAGGTTGCCAGCCAGGCAGGAACCCATAACCATGTGCTTTCCTGCTCTGTGTGACGGTTCCCACCTTTTCTGCTCAAATAGCGCTTCATCAGAGAGGCCTTCCCTGGTCTTCATCTAAAACCCCTACGCACCTTTACTTAACATCTCCATCCCTGTCTTTATTTTTTCTTCAAAGCATTTTTCATGTGTGTGGAAGAATCGGACATTTTTGCTCCCTTTCCTGTCTGCCTGCACCCCAGAAGGGGAGGTCCCCTTGGGCAGGGTCTTGGTCTCACCCCTCGTCCTGTCCCAGCACCAGGAACAGGGTTTGATGGAGTTCTATAAATACATACACGAATGAGTCTCTGCCTCTCTGAAGTGTCTCCATCCTTCAGACCCAGCTCAGATCACCCCCAGAAAGTCATGTAACTCACCCAGCCTACGGTCATTAGCCCTCATTTGAGTTCTGTGACAAATCCCCTAAATTCAGTTGACTACCTACAGCCATTGTCTACACCATGTTCTTTCTCTTGTTTTTGTATGTTTGTATGTATCTATGTATAGTGTATGTATTTGCATACATACATGTGACGTTATTTCTCATATGCAATGTTATTCACACCTTGTATGATTATTTACCACATTTCCGGAATCAGACTATCCAACTCCTTGAGGTCAAGAAATTCTTTTGTGCATCTCCTAGAATTGTTTAGCACAATACTTTACACTTGATGCACTAATAAGTACTTATTTATTGATTGATTTCTAATATATACTGGGTACAGATTTAGATGCTAGGGGTGCAATGACGAATACAGCACTGTCCCTAAATAATTAATTGGGTGACATTATTCAGTTATCTCAGAGAAGAGGCATCAGAAGGCCTGATGCAAACAGGGAAGGCAATACTTAGCTCACAGGATTGTGAGATATGTGAAAACACCTTATCAGCTGCTACGTTTTATACAAATATCAGTTGTTACTGTTACCAGAGAATAGCATAATTTAAGCTGGAGCCATCTTGTATAACATACATTCAACAATACTGTCACTGTCTTATTAGCAATACTGTCTTATGATCCAAAAATAGCAGGAAACCGATTCTGCCTGTCACACTGTACTGGGTGACGACCTGTGAGTAGGAGTTCATATTGCCGAATCCCCTCGGCCCCGGCATTCTGAGGGGTGACTGCTGCCACCTCAGAGTGAATGCCTCTGCCATACACGCAGCATTACCTGCTGCCGGAAATGAAGAAAGGCTGTGTGAGCTGACAGCTCTAGCCCATCCAGAGTAGCTTTCTCGGTTTCCACAATAGGACTATTCTTAGAATGCCCAAAGCTCCCTCATCAAAGCCCCCCTGCGGTGGCCTCCTAGAGGTCAAGGATATGAGCCTGGCGGTCCCCCACCCACCGTCAGCCCTGGGTCCATATCAATGAGCCTCATGTGTCAGGGTGTCCACTTCCCTTCAGATCCACGTATCTCTTGGCGAATCACTCTCTTTCCTAAAACTCAGGCCTCAGCTTCCAATGCTTAAGGGTCCTCCCCAACCCTCAGGCGGGCTTTCCGGCCTGTGTCTTCTGAGTCGGGCAGCGCTCCCTCCCAGCCTCACCCCGCCACCGAGTCCCGAGTCCCGGGGCTTGTTGCTGCAACACACATCCCTTGTGGGGCAGGCAGGTCCATGGGTGATATCACCTGTTTGTAAACAGTTCTACAAATCACCTCCCACTGGGAATCCCAGAATCTCAGAGATGGAAGGAGGGGCCCCTCCCACTCAGAGCGGGGCTGCCCGTCAGCGCCTTGGTGACAGGGGTCATTTGGCCTCAGCTTTAAACAGCCTGGATGAATCAATGGAGTGTTTCTGACCTCACCTCTGAGCAAGTGCCTTTTGCTGGGTGGATGCCATGACAGAGCTTGCCAGTCACCGGGTCACTGATGTAACAGTAGGCACAAAGCCAAGCTTCAATTTTCTAAGAGCCTGGGTGTGTCGGCAGAGCCCCGAGTGCCCCTTGGGTGGTGGTGATTTCTAATGTGTACCTGGCACATACTCGACCATGACACTTTGAGTCTGAGAACATGGATTTTGGAGTCACACAGACCCCGATTTGAATCTCATCACTCCCACTCGCCATCTGCGGGCCTTGGACATACACCGTGCAATGTGGGCCAAGTCTCGGAAACTCTCTGAACCCGTTTTCCCACATATATAAAAAACAGGGACGTTCATGTCTCTACCTTGAGATTATTGTGAAGATTAAATGAGATGATATATGTAAAGTGTTGAGCCTTGTGCCTGGAACAAAGGAAGTGCTCAGTAAGGAGCAGCTGCTCTTACTATTATTATCACAGTTACGGCCTCCTCCCTTCCAAGCCAGCAGACGTCACTTTGGGGGGCGCTGTGCTTCCTCTCTCTTTTGTCCTGAAATGAGTGCTAAGATCTATGTCCACAGGCCTGACTCTCTGACCCATCGGGGTGACCGCACCACCACCATCACAACCACCACCTCTAGACAATGACATTCCCATGTTTCTGAGCGTGGCACGTCGCACCCCCAGCGTCCTGGAAGCCGGGGGCTCCTCATCGGGCCTCAGCTGCAAGGATGAGATGTGGAGAGGGAGGCTCCCAGGCTCCTGGAAGGCCCAGTTTGGGGACGTCCCCTTACCCAGCAAGCACAGCAGTGGGTCAGTGACCGCCTGTGACCAAAAAAAAAAATCTCAGCTGCCTAATTCCAAAACCAAGAGCTGCAGGTGCAAACCCTTGTGTCTCAGCTGCCTGGGCCCAGTGGGTAGGAGGGCGGAAAAGGCTCTGGAAGGTTTGGGGTGGGGTGTTGGGGAGCCCAGCAGAACAGTTAGGAGCATAAGCCCTGGAGCTGGGCATCCGGTCTCCTCCATCATGTACTGGCTGAGTGACTATGAGCAAGTTACATGTCTTCAGTTTCTCTTCTATAAAATGGGAATAACAGCCCCTACCTCACTGAGTCAGCGAGAGAATTAAATGAGATGGTGCATGTCACAGCAAATCCTTAGAACTCTGCCTGGCTTCGTAGGTGATTTCTGCTGTTGTGATAAAGCTCCAAAAAGGCACCCTTGCTCAAGCACGAATTTTAGTTTTCGGCCTTTTACACAAATGCCAAGCCAGGGCTGAGTGAGAGGCAGAGGAAGGGGTGGCAGAACGCAACGACAAATGCAGAGATGGAAGAACGAACAGCAAGACGGGTGTTCTCAGGAGGTAGCTTTATTATGGCATGTCTTTAAAAAGCAATCAGATCAATTAGCATTTATTGAGCACCTACTGCGTGCAAGCCCATGCAGACAGTAGAGTCCAGTGTCCCACACGGGGAGGAAAATCACACAGGGGCCAGGGAGTTTTGCGGGGCTGAGAACAGGCTGGGTTTCTGGACACCCAAGTGCAGTTAGCTTGATGGGGGGCAAACTCGGAGGCCCAGCCCCGAGACTGAGCTTGGTGACCGGCATCGGAGACTCGGGGTGGGAGGGCCGGGGCGAGCCGCTCTCCGGGCGGCAGGTGGCTGTCCCGCAGCTCTTCTGGGCAGCGGTGGCCTCAGCAGCTGCCGCAGCAGCCCTGGCTCTGGGTGTTGCCGGAGCACTGCGACCTCTGGCTGCCTCCGCAGCAGCCGCAGCCGCTCCTGCGCTGCCGGCGGCGCCTCATTGGAAAGCAGCAGCAGCCCGTGGACACCGAGCCGCAGCAGCCCGAGTCCCCGCAGCAGCCGGAGTCGCCTCCGCAGCAGCCGGAGTCGCCTCCGCAGCAGCCGCAGCAGGAGGATGAGGCAGAAGCCCGGGAGGGCACCGGGGCGGGCGCTGGAGCGGGACACGGGGAGGGGCCCTGGGAAGCGCCCTTGGAAAAGCCCTTGGCGGAAGGCATGCTCTGCTGGGAGGACATCGCGGGATCGTCACCGTGAACCTGCAAGAAAAGCAGCCTTTCACACGCGAGGTAGACAGACGTTTGCTTTCCAACAGGGGAACTCAGGGCTCTTGAGATGTGGCTTTTGTAAGCAAGAGAGCCTGACCCGGTGCAAGGAACAAAGGAGAGGAAGCAGAGAAACGACACCCAAAGACTTGTTCCCCGAGCGTTACACATGCACAGAGCGGGAAACTGTGCAAAGCGTCAGCGGCTTCCCATTTTCTGGGGATGGAATAAGGATAGCGAGGATATTGAGGCAATGTATCTGTGTGATCCAGTCCAAAATTCTCCTGGCTCTTTCCCTCTCCCCCATCTCATGTGGCCACCGACTTCCAAGTGATGTTCGTATAGTTACTGGTGTTGTATGAACACCGCATCCATAGAAACTCCCCAGTCACGCCTGCATCCCCAAAACGGGTCTGAAGAATCCACAAAGGCCAGAAGCATGTCTGTCTAGGTCGTTCTTTCCTGCCCATGCTGCCATTTCCAACGACCACAGCAAAAGGAGACTGGTGCCAAAGATGGGAAATGCATCCCAGACCCGAGAGCCAAAGACCAGGGTTCTAGTCACAGCTCTGCCACAGACTTGCAGGGAGCCTTGCAGAAGTCCCCAGAGGTTGGCTCAGGTGCCACCTAATGCGCATACCAGGGCTCTCCTTCCCGCTGTGGTCTGCCTTCACCTTTTCCCAACTTCCTCCCCAGACCCTGTTTAGAGACTTACCAGCCCTTGGTGCCACCGGAAGACACTCAGCTCTCCAACTGGAACGGGCCACCTGCTAGGCTATGGACTGAGTAGCTTCCAGCCAGAGAACCTTTTATAGATAATAGGTGCTGGGTAGTTGGGAGGAGTCCGTTTCCCAATAGACAGGCTCAGCTGACACTCACATCCCAGAGACATTTGTCACTTAGGTAACACAGTAGGTGGTGCACGTGCACGTTCAAGTCACTGCACAGAGGTGCCAGGATTGTTGTGGCTTGTTTATTTTCCAAACAGGACGCAGTTCATAGCTGGGAGGGCTGTGTGGGTGAAGACACAGCACAGAGGTTCAGTGAGGAGAGGTCTGCGGCCCCTTCTCAGGACTTGTTGTCTTTGCCCTTTTCTACAATGGACATGGACACACACACACACACACACACACACACACACACCGATCCCGCTCACACATCCGTCCGTGTGTGGTCATGTCTTGGTCATTCATCCACTTGGTGTCTTGGTTTGCGTCTCTCTGGCTCTTGGGCCTTAGGCTCCTCAAGTTAGGCCACATGCTAGTGAAAAGCCTGCTGGGTTTCATCCAGATGCGTCCAGAGGACACTGAGTGAAGGCAACAGCAGGGATGTGCCTGTGGGAATCCCAGTGGCGGTTTCTCTCTGTCACTGGAGGCAAGAAGAAAAGCCCAGGCAGTTATGGAGCCGTTAAAACCAGAAAGGCGGTGACTGTAGTCATGTTACCACATTCCAACAGCAATGGTGGGCCGAAGAGAAAATTGTGTGCTGGATACTGGTCCCGTGGCAATGCCAAGCCAGCCTGTGGGCCTCTCTGCTCCTTACCCCATCCCCAAACTCCCTTTGAAGATAGTGTCTCCCTGGGACCACTGCCAAATGAAAAGAGGAAGGAAGGAAGGAAGGAAGAAAGGAAGGAAGGAAGGAAGGAAGGAAAGAAGGAAGGAAGGAAGGAAGGGACAAAGGGAAGAAGAGAAGAGAAGGAGGGAAGGAGGGAGGGAGGGAGGGAGATCTTTCCCAAGGTTCCAAGTGTCCATGAAAAACGGTGTTTTAGAATAACTAACTTTTAACAACTGGGAGACTTTGGAGGTCAACTGGCTTCAGAACTGCTCCTTCATCAATGCACTTGCCCACAGCCATGAAGGTGAAATCAAAAGAAATCCAAGACTAAACAAAAAATTTTTTAAATAAAAATAAATAAACAAATAAATAAATAAAATGAAATCCAAGACTAAGAATTCAAGAGTTGATGGTGAGACATAGGTTAGGGGGTGAGTGAGCTGGGAGTGGCATGAGGGAACAGGCAAAGAAAGGTTAAGTCACAAAAGATACCAGTTTCATTTAACATGGCTTTAGAGCCTGATTAACAGGTTGCATGTACCTAGGGTCACCTGTTGGTGAGTACAGGTGAGACATTCCAAGAAGTGAGGTCAGTATTAGAGACGGAAGGAATGAAGTCACAAGTTGAAGACAGGATCTTCTCTGAGAGATGATTTGGGCAAGTATGAATTCATTATATGGACTTGCTATGGCCTCATATACTAACTCACTTTACCCATCACTGTTAACTCTTACCAAAGGAAGGCCTAGCTGTTGATCTTGTACGAGGTCTGACAATTAAGTTCACAAACTCATCCTAGAAAAAGTGCTACATATCTCACTGCTGAATATCACTACGGTCACCTTCAAAGTACTCCCCTTGGGAAGCTATGCGCTGATGCCAGTGCCTAGTCCACCCTTCAAAGTAATTTTGGAACTCTTTCTGGAATGGCTCGCAGAGCTGTCATCATATTACATTTGATGTCCTGAATGTCATCCAAATGTCTTCCTTTCAATATTTCCTTTATCTTTGGGTAAGGAAAGAAGTCATTGGGGGCCAGATCAGGTGAGTAGGGAGAGTGTTCCAATACAGTTATTTGTTTACTGGCTAAACACTCCCTTATAGACAGTGCCGTGTGAGCTGGTACATTGTCGTGATGCAAGAGCCATGAATTGTTAGTGAAAAGCTCAGGTCATTTTCATCTAACTTTTTCACACAGCCTTTTCAGCCCTTCCAAATAGTAAACTTAGTTAACTGTTTGTCCAGTTGGTGCAAATTCATAGTGAATAATCCCTCTGATATGAAAAAAGTTAGCAACATCGTTTTGCCTCTTGATTTGGACTGACAGAACTTTTTTGGTCATGGAGAACTGGCTGACTTCCACTGTGCACTTTGACTCTTTGTTTCAGGGTCGTACTGGGAACCCATGTTTCATCACCAGTGAAAACACAGCCCAAAACATCGTCTTGACTCCCCAAAAGGTCTTGGCAAACTTCAACACTCCTTTGCTTTTGTTCATCAGTGAGCTCCTTTGGGACTGTTTTTGCACACACCTTTCTCATGCCAAGATTTTCAGTTAAGATTTTCCTGTTTCTCTATCGATGTTTACTTGGTCTGCTGTGCTTCTCACAGTCAGCTGATGATTTTAACACACAATTCGACAAGTTTTTGCAATGTTTTCATCAGTTCTGCTAGTTACCGGCCGCCCTGACCTCTCTCCATCAGTGACACAGTCTCTCCCCTCAGAAAAACATTTAATCCATTTGTACACTGCCATTTTCTTCAAGGCATCATCCCCATAAGCGTGGACTAACATGTCCCTGATTTCACTTCCACTCTTGCCAAGTTTAACAAAAAATTTCATGTTTGTTCATTGCTCTAATTCAAGCTCAGACATTCTTGCGACGGCACACAACCACAATAATGAATGCCGCTCAGCAAGACACCACTGCATGTCCACCTGAACACAGCTGTGAGACGCTGATACACCAAGGTCATGAAACCTTACCGAGCTGTTTCTACAGTGCTGCCAATGTAAGTGCACAATGGCAAGTTTGCAAACTTAATTGTCATACCTCGTATATAAAAGGCTGATTGGGAATGATCATTTCTATCGCAAACATTCTGAATATCTCCTGGAGGAGTCAGCCTATGCCTGTAGGAATAGAAAACCAGATACAGTCACCAGAGCACCCCTGCTCCCCACCCCTCTCACCCTACCCCCCTACACACACACAAACCACACGGTGGAGGTTGTCCTTCTTGGTTCTCTACTCAGACCCAAGCTCAGGCTTTCAGGATCCAGGGGAAATGGGCTCAAGCATTTCATCCCTGCCTCCTAAACTCACTCCCTTCATCAGCTCTCCTCTAGTCAACTGATGGAAGCACCTGGGATTATAACAGTCAGAGAAGTAAAGGGTGTCCATTCATTGGGGTCCAGAAGAAACACTTTGGGTGACCCTACTCCCCATAACCAGGAGACAGAGCCCCTTTTAAACTCTCACCCTCACTTGAAGCAAACCCTTCTGGGGTGTCTCATCTCACTGTGACCTTTCTGGGTATCGCCATCCTTCTCCCCGAAAACCTGTCCCCAACTCTCATCGTGCAAGGCTTGTGTCAACATGATGGTCTCAGACACGACTCTCCCCTTCAAGTTCAAGTTCCCACATTCAGAGCGTAAACGGGCGAGTGTTTCCCAGAGGTCTAAGTGGCTTCAGCGCCAAATCTGCTTCCCAAACTGACTTTTAAAGTATTCACATGCACTTAAGAGAAGGGGAGGGAGACGGTTTGATGCAACGGGTGGGGAGCAGGAGAGGTGGACAAAACTTAATCAGGAGGTAGTGACATCGGGGAGAAAAAGCTTTATTGTGGCAGAGAAAACAGCGTCCTAACTGAACTCCTACACCAGTCTCAAAGAAGTGTGTCCAAGGGGGAGTCAGGCGCCGAAGACCCAGGTCAGCCCTCTGGCCCTCACAGCGGATGAACACCGACGCAAGGAGACAGGAACCCCGGACGTTGCCTACAGCCCTTCCCTGCGGAACAAGGAGCAGTCTCAGGCCCGGGTCGTCAGCAGCTTGGCTCCTGTAAAGCTGATCTCGGTGCTCCTCACAGCGCGGTCAGCAGCAGCCAGAGCCCCCAGAACAGCAGCTAGAGCCCCCCGATTGGTGGCCACCGCCACTGTCACAACAGTCAGAGTAATGGGGTCGGCGTCGAAAAGACCGGCGGGGCCTGTGGTAGCTCAGGCAGCAGCCGCCACCCCCAGACCCACAACACGAAGAGCCTGGAGGCGGGCAGGGAGCTGAGCACTAGGGGGGACATTTGGGAGGACACTTGGGTGGGCATTTGGGGGGACATTTGGGAGGGGGCTGGCACTGCTGCTGGTTCTGCTGGCAGCACATCTCGGCAGGAGCTGAATGAAGCCAAAAGACAATACAGAAGT